GGAGGATTAGCACGGATGTTAGCTCAGGGCTGATCTTCCTCACAAAAAAAAAAAAAAAAAACTAGACTATTGGTGGTGAACACAATGCAGTCTATACAGAAACTGATATATAATAATGTATGCCCAAAATTTACATGTTATAAGCCAATACGACCTCAATAAAATAATTTTTTAAAAAAGAAAAAACTTGTGCAACCTGTCTGCCAAAACCACCAACACAGCCAGGCAAATGCAAAACCAGCCATTCAAGAGAGACAGCATCCCGTGAGCCCCATGCAAGTCACACGCAGAGCAGAGCCCCGCAGGAAGCTGCCCCACAGGGCTTGAGCAGAGAGGCATGAGGGTGAGAGGCAGAAGTTTCAGAAATAGCCGAGAAAGAATCAGAAACTCAAGCCTGAAACAGGCAAGTGGGGAGGGGTCTGGGTCTGAGTCTGTGCTGCCCCAGATCTCAAAAGGAAGAAGGCAGCTGCAGCTGAGAAGTGGGATGGGCTGCCCTGTGGGGCCTGGCAGGGATGGATGAGGCAGTGGCTGGGCCCCCGGGGAGGGGGGGAGGAGCCGCTGGGCAGCTCGGTGGGAAGCCCCTCCCACATGCAGACTCTGCTGCAGGGTCTGCAGTTCATACTTTAGTATAAAAGACATTCAGTATAAAAGTTATTTGAACAAAGAAATATCCTGCACAAAAAGAGATTAAAAAATAAAGGTTACAAAAACAAACCAATCTCAGTGGAGGGCAATTTGGAAGCATCTAACAAAAATTTTCATGTACATTCAACCAAGAAATTCTATTTCTAGATACTTACTATACTAGTCAAATGTAACAATTTAGAATGAAACATGAATATAAGATATCCTTAATGTGTATATTAAGGTTAGGAACACTATTAACAACTTAGGATACAAAGTTTCTAATGGTTTCAAGTTTTATTTAAAAAGATTATTTCAAAAATCTGCACAGATCTGATACTATAGGAAAGCAGAGATAATTCCAAATCTTAACAAATTGTGAGTTCTCTACTGGCTGCTCTGGGAAAGCCAAGATGCGGGCGCCTCACAGAAGGATCACAGAACAGGAGCCAGCGCCAGTAAAGGACTTTCAAAGACGACAAACAAACGAAAGCCCCTGACCCTGCGACACGAGGTAACCCTCTGGATACCCTTTGCTGCGCAACTGTTACCTGGGGGTGGATAGCACTGGAGCAACCTCAGCAGTTTTACCGACAGCCAGGGAGCCGGGACAAAATAGTAAGTATAATCCTGAAGGTCTGTTGATGCAGACGTCACAATCTGTAAAACAACACAGGGTGATGAGACACGCTGCGAGCAAGTGTCACCACAAGAGGCCCCCCCACTGTGGGGGACCCATAGAAAGCCACACTCGGTCCTCAGGTCACACAGTAACTGAAAAAAGGGTTTCGTTCAGTGTGCTGAGAATACTGAATACAGTTCTCTGTATTTTAGAGGTAAAGGAGCACAGAGACACCAAGCTCACACTGAGAGCGGCTGCCCGTTGTCACTTTCAGGGACAGTGCCGCTGGGCAATGGCAATCCCCCTCTGCAGGACACAAACCGGTAAGACCACTGACCTCTCAGTACAGAATCCTATGGCGCCTGGACTGAGAATTCAGACTTCCTTTGTGGACCGGAAAGATTTGAATGAAACACAAAAGGGAGAGCTTTGGTGCCTAAAAAGGGAGACGTTAGCGTTCTGACCCCAGAGGCACTCCCCCCACCCCGCAGTCCCCAGGTGTGGAGAGCTGCCATGAGCTCCTCGAGGCCAGGGAGCATGCTTCCTTCACTGACAGTTCCATCTCCTTGTCCAAAAGAGCCCCCGGCAGGGCAGACACTCCATCAACCCTCTGAATCCATTACTGTCCCTAAGACATCACATTTCCATTAACACACAGCCCAGTGCCTTCTCCATCTCCTGCGTCAGGGAGGTCAGAGTAGCTCCTCCCTACAAAGCTCACAGGTGTGACACTTTAGGCCAGAAGTGAGCACATTCAGGAAGGTTCACCCTGACTCCTGCCCTCAGCTGCAAGACACCAGTCCAGACTCGGAACGCGGCCCGTCCTGCAGGGAGGTGAGCTCCATACTGTGTCAAGCACTGACGGGACAAGCAGAGCAGTTAGGGGACACGCAGGCACAAGGCAGGCACACCAAGCAGGAGGACAGGGACCATGCCACTCCATGTAACACAAAAATGGCCCAACACAGACTACCTTTACAACACGTCTCATGCAGCTAAAGCCGTGCTGACAGAGAAATTTACAGGTTTAAATGTACACATTTGAAACAAATATGAAAATAAAAGCGATGAAGAATTCATCTCAAGGGTTTAGAAAGAGACTAGCAAATTAACTCCAAGAAAGTAGAGGAAAGAAAACAATGACAATATAGCAGAAAGTAAACAAGGTAGAAAAAAACACAATCGAGAGGACCAGCGAAGTCCAAAGAAATCATCGCACAGTCAATGAGACAAATCAAGGAAAGAGAAACGCTGCAAACACTCAATATCAAAACTGTGAAGGGAGGGGCCGGCCCTGTAGCTTAGCGGTTAAGTGCACGCTCTTGGCTGCTGGCGGCCCGGGTTCGGATCCCAGGCGTGCACCAACACACCGCTTCTCCGGCCATGCTGAGGCTGCATTCCACATACAGCAACTGGAAGGATGTGCAGCTGTGACATACAACTATCTACTGGGGCTTTGGGGGGAAAATACATAAATAAATAAAATCTTTAAAAAAAAAAAAACTGTGAAGGGAGACACACTACGTACGGATCCTACACACAATACTTTCTGTCAGTACATGTGACTCTTCAGATAAATTAGCAAATGTCAAGAAAATGCAACATAACCAAAACTGATGAAAGAAGAAACAGAAAATATGAAGTCCTGTAACTTATAAGTTGAATCCATAATTAGAACTCATCCCACAAAAACACCCTAAGATCAAATGGTTTCACCAGTTAATTATGATAAAAATGTTAGCAAGGATATAGAAAGGAATTTCCTTAACGTGATAAAGAGAACCAACAGCAACAAAACCAGCAAACATCATACTTAATAGTGAGATATTGAAGACTTTCCCTCTGAGACTAGAAGCAAGACACTAATCATCTCTCATATTCAACATTGCAGTGGAGGGCCAAATTGGAGTGATAAAGTAGGAAACACAAACAAATATAAATTGGGAAACAAAAACACTGTCATTGTCCATAGACAACATAATGGAAAACAAAGATCCAAAGCAATCAAGCACATAGAAAGGACTGAAGTTCATAAGAGAGTCTGGCAAAGTTGCCAACTCCAAGATCAATATAAAAAAATCAACTGCATAAACCAACACACAGTAGTTAAAAATCACATTTTTTAAGGTATTGTTGAGAATGCATTTTAAAAAAACAAAATAGAGATAAATCTAACAAAAGATAAAGGAACCTCTCCTCAAAAAGTTATAACACATTATATGGAAAAACAAAAGACTCCAAATAGCGAAAGCAATCTTGAGAAAAAAGAACAAAGCTGGAGGCATCACACTCCCTGAATTCAAAATATACTACAAAGCTATAGGATTCAAAACAGCATGGTACTGGCAGCAGAAAAAAAGACACACAGATCGATGGAACAGAACTGAAAGCCCAGAAATAAAACCACACATCTATGAATAGCCAATCTTCAACAAAGGAGCCAAGAACATACAATGGAGAAAGGAAAGTCTCTTCAATAAATGGTGGTGGGAAAACTGGACAGCCACAGGCAAAAGAATGAAAGTAGATCATTATCTTACACCATACACAAAAATTAATTCAAAATGATTGACCTAAAACCATAAAACTTCTAGAAGAAAACACAGGCAGTATGCTCTTTGACATCAGTCTTGGAGGTATCTTTTTGAACACTATGTCTCCTCAGGCAAGAGAAATAAAGGAAAAAATAAACAAATGGGACTACATCAGACTAAAAAGCTTCCGCACAGCAAAGGAAACCATCAACAAAACGAAAAGACAACCCACCAACTAGGAGAAAATATTTGCAAATCATATATCTGACAAGAGGTTAATTTCCAAAATATATCAAGAACTCATACAACTCAACAACAAAAAAACGAATGACCCAATCAAAAAATGGGCAGAGGATACAAACAGACATTTTTCCAAAGAAGATATATAGGTGGCCAACCGGCACATGAAAAGATGTTCATCATCACTAATGATTAGGGAAATGCAAATCAAAACTACAAGATATCACCTTACACCGGTCAGAATGGCTATAACTACCAAGACAAAAAATAACATATGTTGGAGAGGATGTGGAGAAAAGCAAACCCTCATATGCTGCTGGTGGGAATGCAAACTGGTGCAGCCACCATGGAAAACAGTATGGAGATTTCTCAAAAAATTAAAAACGGGGGCAGGCCTGGTAGCGCAGCAGTTAGGTTCGCGCACTCCACTTCAGCAGCCCAGGGTTCACGGGTTTGGATCCCAGGCACAGACCAACGCACCTCTTGTCAAGCCATGCTGTGGCAGCATCCCATGTAAAGTAGAAGAAGATGAGGCACGGATGTTAGCCCAGGGCCAGTCTCCCTCAGCAAAAATAGGAGGATTGGCAAGGGATGTTAGCTCAGGGCTAACCTTCCTCACCAAAAAAAAAAATTTTAAGACAGAAATACTATGTGATCCAGCTATCCCACTACTGGGTATTCATCCAAAGAACACGAAATCACTAATTCAAAAAGATTTATGCACCTCTATGTTCACTGCAATGTTATTCACCAACTGCCAAGATGTGGAAGCAACCCAAGTGCCCATCAACAGATGAATGGATCAAGAACATATGATATATATATATACAGTGGACTACTACTTGGTCATAAAAAGGACAAAATCGTGCCATTTGCGGCAACATGAATGGACCTTGAGGGTATTATGCTAAGTGAAATAAATCAGATGGTGAAAGAGAGACACCGTATGTCTCATTCATATGTGGAAGATAAACAAACACAAACAAATAAGGAAAACAGATTAGTAGTTACAAGGGCGGAAGGAGGTGGGGGGAGGGCAAAAGGGTGAAGAGGCACATATGTATAGTGACTGATAAAAACTAGACTATTGGTGGTGAACACAATGTAGTCTATACAGAAGCTGAAATATAATAATGTACACCTGAAATTTACACAGTGTTATAAACCAATACAACCTCAATAAAATAAAAAGTTATAACACCTTAGTGAGAGAAATTAAGGGCTATCTAAATAAATGGAGAGATAAGCCATGGTCATAGATTCAGACTCAATACTGTAAAGATTTTAATTCTCTCAAAACTGACCTACAGATTAAAGCCAGTCCCAGTAGGATTTGGGGGTGGGGGAAGAAGACATGAAGACTTGCTCCTCTAGACATCAAGACTTACCCTCAAGCTCCAGTAACTAGGACAGCATGTCACTGGTGCAAAGATGAACAGAGAAACCAACGGAGTGAGGCACAGACACAAGGCGGCACTGCAGAGTTGGGGGGTGCTTTTTAGCGGTAGTACTGGGACAACTGGATGTCATTCAAGAAAAAGTACCACCACACACAGAAACCCAGCCCCATGCGAGTTGTCAACCTGAATGTGAGAGCTCAAAGCAGGGAGAGACTTCATAAATAGGACACAGACAGCACTACCCATAAAGGAAAGGATGAGAAAATCTGACCACATGAAAATGTAGAATTTCTGATCACAGAAGACTTCATTAAGAGAGCCAAATGGCAAGTAACAGAGCAGGACATGATTTTTAAACAGAGTAGGTTGAACCATACAAAGCTGTCATTTTTGAAGATCAATAATGGTTAAACGTTGGCAATTTTGTTTGGTTTAACCTAATATAACCAACAAAGTGCCTATATCTAAAATATATTTAAAAATTTCTATAAAACTACAAAAAAGACAACTCCACAGAAAAATGGGCAAAAGACTTAACAGGCACTTTATAAAAGAAGATATCCAATGGCTATAATAAACAAGACAGGAAACAGCAAGTGTTGGAGAGGATGTGGAGAGAAGGGAACTCTCATACACTGCTGGTGG